TTGTAGCTAACGAACGCAGCGACTGGGCATCGACTATTTCAAATCTAATCCACAGATATATGTACGTATATGATCGCTGTCATAAAGGAAGTGGAATAAGCCTCGCACGATTGCGGTGATGAATGAAAGCTTTACGTAGTGGCAATTTTTCATTCCGTTTTACGCTCAAAAAGCACAGGAAAACACTTGTTATATACATATGTAAGTTAAAAATGTGTAGCCAGTTTTCAGGATTTTGGTGTCATGAACTGTGCTCATCCAATCGCAACAGAATCCTACTCATTCTATTTTTGTGGATGAGTGTAATATAATATGTTGCAGCACAACTTGAGGTGGACTTGGGTTACTGGCTTTTTCTCTAAATATAAGTATATGGTACTACTTCTATTCAACACTCACTTTATTTCAGTTTTCTTTCCTCCTGTACTACCTATTATCATTTATATATTTGATGCTTTGCTTAGCTCACTATGCTGCAGCTAAATCTACGGTGTCCAAGTACGAATAGAGTTGTATTTTACAGTTTTTGACAACAGGTTTGCTAGTTACAGTCGCAGTCTTAGTTTTTAATAATTTCCAGCAAAGCTGCAGGATAACGCTTCTCTAAATAAAAAAATATTTTTTGTAGATTGCAGTATATTTGCAGTATATATCTGGTTAATTCCTTTGAATATTGTATATATCGTTGCATTGGACAATAATACATACGAAATTTTGTGAAGATATCTTGTCAAATAAAAAGTTTTTTATACAAGAACTTAGTTGTGGTTGTTCAGTTCGTATGGCAGCTATATTCTCTAGTAGTCCAATATCGGCGATTCCGACAAATTAGCAAATTTTTTGGGGAGAAAATGCCATGTACAAAATTTCAGAAGGATTTCTCAAAAACTGGCGTACATACCTACAAACAGAAGAACAGGCGGACATGGCTAAATCACCTCAGCACGTCACGTTGATATAAGATTATATCTCCACAACTTGTGTTGCACTTAAATTTTAATTTAAAAAAAAATAGAAAAAGAATTGAATTGTTATTAATATGTTTTTTTTCTAAATGTTTATTAAAATATTAAATTTAAAAAAAAATTTTTTTTATCTATAAAATTATTATTACTACAAATTATTATTGGTAAAATAATTAAATTTATATATATTTACAAAAATTCTTTATATATATATTTTTTTTTTGTTTTTGTTTTTCATAAATAATATAAAAAGAATTGCAACCTTGTGGTTATATCCTACTTTACACGTTTGTTTCCGTTTTTTGATTTCCTACTTCCCTTTCTATATGATGCTAAAGCAGCGAATAAAGTAAGAGCGCAGAACGTATAGTTAAAAGAGGAGCATATTAATGAGTAATTATTCATGCGCTCTTGAATAAATGTTTCGAAGTTAAAAGAGACTTTTTCTCTCACTGCCAACCAATTGCTCTTACAACGAAAGCTCAAAGAGTACATTCGCAATTTGGGCTGCGCAGTCAGGTTATTATTTTTGTGAATAGTTGTTGCTATATCTATCATAACGATTGCCACTTACATGTCATTTGCATTTCCTTGCCTTGCTGTTTCTGGCTTTGTTTACTGCTGCACGTTCCTATACTCACACATACACACTTCATCTAGTTACGCCACTCACTTGCAATGCACATTTTTTTACATGCGAAATAAACACATTAAATCAAACGCCCGCACTTAGGTTTTACACAATTTCAATAAAACATAATTTAAACTTTAGTTTTAAATATAAAATATTTTTAAGTGCCACAATATTTTGTAAGATAACTTTAATTTTCGACTGTTGCTATTGAATTGCTTTCGTTTTCACTCGCGTTTGAACAAACTGACGAGTAGCAAACCCTGCAGCGGCTGATCGGCTTTAGTTTACACAACACTGCATGGCTGATGTCAAAGTTTGCAGATTTTTGAATAAATATTTTTTTTTGGCAAATTTTAAATACACATTTTTTCTATAAATAAAATACAAAAAAAACGAAGTATATGAAAACTAAAAGAAAAATATTTTATATTTAATTTTTTTTTGAATCCTGACTATGTGCAAGAAGACGCATCCGTTTTAAGTAAAATATTTAACGATAATTTGCTGAAATAAAATTTTTGAATGTTTACTAAAATTATAAAAATATTAAATGTAAAGTTTAGATTTGTGCTTGAAGTTATTAACTTTTATTTTGAATGAACATGTATTATTGCAGTTCTGAAAATATTTTTTTGATTCTTCGGAAGATTTCGACACTTTTTAAAGTAGTTAATTTATTATAATCCTTTTCATAATAATTACGAGTATATTGAGAGTTATTTTGTAAGATTATGAGCGCTTTAACATTAAGTATTGTATATAAATTAATTAAGTAGTTATAGCTAACTAATTTTTATGGTAAGTCTATTTAAAAATTTTTCGCACGAAAATTGCAACTCTGTGTTCGTTATACACTTTCTCGCTTGTTTCCGTTTTCTAACTTCCTAATTTCCTTCCTCTGTTAAGTTGCTAGGCTGATTGAAAAAATATTGAAATACATGCAATATATGAAGTAGTGTACACTGCAAGAGTGAAGAGCAGAAAGTCATCAATGAAGAAATATTTTTGTCTCTTGGCAATAGACCTACTTATGTATACTTATTTATGAATCGACATACACATTAGTGGTACTTAGGTAAATGACTGTTTAATTTCCGAAATCTTATAATTATTATGTCGTTTTTTTTTTTTTTAATTTTTGTTTTTTTGCAAAAATGTACATGCATGTACAAGTAAATTTTTATATATGCCTATCGGTCGGTATAAATTTCAATTAAACTTGTTTTTACTGGCTAAGTTATTATTGGTTAAAACCACCCATTCATATTTAATACATTTTCGAATTAGAAAAACAAAATTATCCTGCAACAAAGCACACACGCTTCATAGCAAAAACACTCTATTTCATGCGCTCTTAGCTTATCACATTTTATAGCGAAAGAGAGTTTTCCTCTGTCTCCTACTTACAGTATCAGTTACATCGAAAGCGCAAAGAGCATATACGCTAACTAGGCGTGCGCACTCAATTCACACGACTGATCTCTCCGTATGCAGTATCACTAAAATAACAACTATTGAAATTCCTTTTGCACATATTTGCAGATGCATTTGTATTTTGTTGTTGCGGTTTGCATATCAATGTAATTTCAAGGCCATTTATAAAAATATGTGTGTATTAGCATGCATTAACCCTACTAACAACTGTATTTTGTTCACGCATTTTATTATTAAAAAAAAATACTTATTTCTAAATACAATATATATAAATATATCTGCATGTGCACTTGTGGCGTAATCATTTTCAGATCAGCCTTCCTTTTCCTTGATATTTGCAGCTTCTTACCTCACCTACACACTCTTTCACACGCGCCGACTCACGCCACTCACTTGCAACACACATTTCTTTACTCACGAAATAAACACTTGAAATCGAACGCCCGCACTTATATTTTACATGCTTTCAATAAAACACGCTTTGAACTTTAATTTTCAATAAAAATCTTGGCAAAGTAACACAAAAATTGCTGAAAAATCTTTAATTTTCTTCAGCCGCTGTTGGATTGCCATCGTTTTTATTCGCGTTAGAAAAAACTGACGTATAACGGAAGTGAAGGCGTCTGATTGGCTTTGGTTACGACAGAGTTGCATGCGTATTGTAAAAGTTTTAAGTTTTATCAAACAATTTTTTTATGAAAATATATGCTTGCGCGGATAACAGTTATTTATTGAAGTTGATATAATAAATTATAAATAAGTTGTAATATAATGGAGGGAAATTCATTTTATTATTAAAATAATAAAATACAAAATTTAATATTACAATTTAATATAATATTTAAAAGTGGCTTCAAATAAATTTAATTAATAATTATAAAAGCTTCTTTGGTTTAGAAGGCTACATGAATACTATTTTTTAATAAAAGTTTACTCTTGAAGTAAACAAGCAATTTTTTGATATATTTTGAATATTTATTAAACTATCTTTTTTATTATAATTATCATAATTTTTGGACATATTATACATATGTATACATATATCTTATTATAAGTAATTTAGTAAAAAATACGGCTTTTGTCTCTTTTACTAATAATTTCACTAATTTTTAATTTTTTATTTTTACGAGTAGTAAAAAATATTTTTGCCCACAGATTGCAACTTTGTGTCCGTATCCTACTTTACTCGTTGGTTTCCGATTCTTAATTTCCTACTTCCCTTTCTGTCATAGCCACACAGCTGACTCGAGAAAAGATTTTAAAATTTGAAGTAGCTAATAAGGAAATATTAAAACGCAGAGAATCAAATTTTACAATAAGCAATGGATCTCATTATGGCAATAACTTTTTGTAATTCTGAAAAATGTTTATATTTATATTTATCAATTATATTTTTCACATTAGTTATACGTATAACGTAAGTGATAATTTTTCAATGACACAAGCTGCGATTAAAACCGACTAATCTATTGTGTTTCATTGAATATGTAATAGCAATCGATCATAAACAACAGAACGGTATATAATTTTTTTTTCTTTACATTTAATAAATTCAAACAATTAAACGATTTTGATATTTTATACGGCAAGTAAAAAACTTTAAAAAGTTCTCTGTGAAATGAGCTTAACACATTTTCGAACTCGGTGACCGGGGAAATAAAAAAGCACCTACAACAAGGCCTGCAAGAGCAACAGATTATCACCTTTGCCAGCAATAGCGAGTTTTTCGTTCTCTCCCACACACTTGCCTCTTATATCGAAAACACGAAGTGCATATTCGAAAGCGCATGCAATTTGAGCTGCGCATTAAGTTTGCAACAGCGCAATACGAAGTATAATTGGCATACGAATAGTGTCATATAATAGAAAATTATTATAAATATTAAATACTATAATATAATAACGGCAATTAAATAAATTTTATGAAAAAATGAAAGTGTGAAAAGTGTTTTAATCAAAGCGCGATATAAAAAGCGTTTTTCTTCGCGTGTAAGTAATTCGGGACGAAACTAGCTTACGTGTAGTGATTCGGTAAAGTGAAAAAGTATGTAAGTGCGTGAGTGTAGCGATTTGTGGAAAGGACGGGTGGTAGGAGTGTTTAATTAATATAATTGTATAATATTTTACTTGGTAAGTCAATTTCGTGCATGTTTTCTTGTATAATTAAGCTATTAAACAATATCGACAAACATACAGGTACATACAAATCTGCATATGTATGTGCATGGTAATTTATATAACAGCATATTTAGTTAGCATTGAGAGTATGGAGTAGCTAGTTTTGTTTTTGGGTGACATACATATAATAATGGCACAATGCCTGTTTGTATAGTTTTAGCGCCACTGAATTTGAGTGAAAAGGCAACCATGAATAAAACCGCTGCTTTCCAAAATGTTTCTTTTTATGTACAAATGTGTATGAATGTATGTGTGTAAAAGAAAAACGGAGTTTTTTATAAAAATATTTTAATTTCATCAAAATTAAAAAAAAAAATATTTTGTATTCATTTATAAACAATAAAATTTTTCATGTGCTGTTAACAATTTGTGAACAATAAGTAACTCTTGCCGGCTAAAATTTTTTCCCACAAGGTAGTTATATGCTTATATATATTTTTTCATAACCTGTAAAGCTGCTGAATAAAATAAATTTAAAGAAAGGAAATAAATACCGAATCAAATAATTTTTTTTTACTATATGGCTTAACCTTGACAGTGAAAAGTGGGGTGTGCGATTATATTTCAGATCTAGTGATAGAAAAATTATGTATTTTAAAGGTCGAAAAATTTGTATTGCCGAAACTTATATTATTAAAATTACAGTGACGTATCTTGTTTTGAACAGTAACCATCAAGATCTTGTAAGCTTACGCCGACAAACACAGCAAGCCTAATTTTTTATAGCTTGAACAGGGTATATTAAGTTTATCACGAAGTGTTAACAGCCAGAAATAATCCGATATTTCCTATATAATAATAATCAGCGCGAGATATCGCTAAGAAATTTTGCATACATCCTTTTCCCCCCAAGAAGCTACTCATTTGTGGAAATCGCCGATTTCGGACCAAAAGCACATATACATATAATATATAGCTGCCGTAGAAACTGGCCGATCGCACTCAATTCCTTGTATCGAAAACTTTTTTATTTGACAAGGTATCGCCACGAAATTTGGCATAGCTTATTATCTGAGGCTACAATCTTCATCGAAATTGTTTAGATCGTACAACTTGAGTGGATAGCTGCAATATAAACTGACCGATCAAAATCGAGGTTAAAGATTTCTATACCCTCCTATAATAAATGTACCCGCTATAAAAAAATGTACTTGTTATGTATATTATAACTTCGGTTAAAGTTTTTTTTGTGTTTTGCTTAAGAAAATGGTTTTGGCCAAACCAAGAATTTTTTGTCTGACTCCTCAAACTCTATACTTATCGCGTTTATTTTTATAGAAATACTAAGTGGCCGTTAGCAATTTCTTTACGTAAAAACATCTCACCGTAAATATATATGTTTTGCAAAGAAATTATAATATTTTAACAATACGACAGCCATTTAAATGTAATTTGGAACGTTAAATTGCCTACAGCAAAGCTCGAAATAGCACATTAAAAATTCTAGTAAAAAAAAAAAAAAACAATAAAAACAAACAAAAAAATAAATAAATAAACGCGCCATAAACATTGTGTGCTCAAAATATGTGACAAAGAATGGAAAGCAAAAATAAATATTTAATTTAATTATATTAGACTGACACCAACTACACAAAGGCAGCGGGTAACAATGACAATAATGGCGACAACAACAGCGCAAAAAATGTCAATAAGCATAACAACACTAATGTTAAGCATATATATTGTACAAACAAATATTCAACTGTATTTGCATGGGTTTGTGTTAGTTCAAAAGTCGTAGGGAAATGCGCAAAAGACGAAAGTCAACGTCATTGTCATTGCACTAATATTTAATAAAAAATTCAGAGGCACGTCTTTGTGTCAAACCGAGAAAAACCGAGACACGAGCGTACGATGGCTAAGAGCATCCAAAGCAAACAAACTGACGGACAGCTACAACAATTACAACACACATACTAGTTGCTAGTGGTAGTCTTACAACAGCAAGGCACTGCTTGTGGCAGCAACAGTACATGGTACATATTTGACACCAAATTACAAAAATGAAATCGAGCGTACAACAACAATAGTAGAGTAATGTTGTTGAGGCTGTAAATGTGTCACAGCGTCTATGGCGTGCTATGTACATCAGTGTCAAAGCGACACTGACAGCTCACATACCCACACACTTACATATATCAAAGCGTTAAAGATGGTAGCTGGGTTCTATTCCATAGAGCTGATACGGGGCTAAGTCAAAGTGCGGGTGGAGACAATTTATATTAAAGCCAACTTAGAATGCTTACTGTGTTGCTTTTGTGGCAAGACTGAAGCATTTGCTGCAGCTTCTTTTGTTGTTGCTTTCTGGCAGCATGCGACTTTGAATAGGAAAAGCGGTGTAAGTGATTACTACGAAAGCGTATAGCAACTAATCTCATCTTTTGTTATTGTTGTTATTGTATTAAGTAAATGGAATTGCTGGAAGCATTCAAAACTGTGTTTTTTTTTTTGTTTTTTTGTAATTTATTCACTTTCTTTCCGGGATCCTGTCTTGCATTAATAGCTGGAATTGCTATCAAAAGTAGCTTTTATCCAATATACTATATCTTCCTTTAAATCTACTGCGAAAACATCTATATAAAACAATGAAATAGGTTTTCTGAACTTGTGAAACACTTTCCCTTGAAGAATAACTAGATATACTCTAGTTGTTTTTAAACCGACGTGGAATTTTTATTCCATAAACATTTTTTTGTGGAACTGACTCCTACTCTTCAATATAATATGTTTGATCGATGCTTTACTAGTAAAGAGAATAGATCAACTTTGGCTAATGGAGAGTAACTAATTTTGTTCCACCAGGTCAACGCCAGGTCACACACATCGCTATTCAGTCGCCAGAAGCTCCGAGAGATTTGTTGAGAGGTTTTTATGCATTCAGTTTTTAGTACGTACTTGACACCAATTAATTAGTAACTGTACCTGTCTATTGCGAATGATTTTGCTTGTAAAAATTTGCCTACAGAGAAGCTTTTGAAAATTGATGATCCCAGTTAGTTTTGTCAATAAAGACGAGGGATTCTATGAAAGTGGTTTTATGAAATTCCGACAACAACTTCGCTAGATTCGCCAAAGGTGTGTCTACCGAGATATTTCAATCTCAGTTTGGCAAAAGCTGGGCAATAGAGATGGAAGTGACCAGATGATTCCACCTCGCCTTCCTCTATATAGCTTTGGCAAAAAGCGTTCGACAGAATTTTAAGCCGCACTGCGTGTAAACCTATTGAACAGTGTCCAGTAAAAATACCTATAATTGCGGTGAGATGGACTTTGCTAAAAGCTAGTAGTTTGCATGACCTTTTACGGTCGCTTGACCACTGTACCGGTCTGGTGGTTTGAAACTAGAGTTGATGGAGAGTTCACGACAGAAGAATCCACCATGTACTCTCCCACTTAACTTTGATTCATCCGTGAAATAAGCTTAATGCTTATTTGACCCAAATCCTTCCTTTCCGCGGATACCATAGAGAGGTATATAAATAGATTCTAGAAGAGTTGACTTATAAAATCTAAAGTTTAGAAATGTCAGCTTTGCAATGCCTTTGTCAAATTTTAAATGCCACAAGCTTAGGCAGCAGGATTTTAGGTTTCATGATTACTCACGCTCCTGTTGTCTTTCCTTTGCGGTTGCTAATTCCTGCCGGACAGTTCTGGGCAAATCACAGAGTGCGCACAAAGAAGATACCTTGCAACAACACGCACTTTAAGCTAATTTGAAAGTCACTATATGTGACACGCGAACCTTTGCATGAGTATTGGTGCCTATATGCCTGTGTGTATATGCGGTGGTATTGATGAACTTTTGTATGGCTTTGTGCAGCTTCATTTCAATGTACATATGTCCCTTGCCTTTTGATGCTCTTTCAATGTTTCTTCAGCACCCCTTTTCAAACACACCCCTGGCGTGTGTGCGTACGTTGCTTCATTTTGCATTTTGTGCGTTTGCCTAATTTTTGGCACAAAACTTTGCTCTGCTTGTTGTAGTGGTTGTCATTGTTGCAACTGTTGTTGTTTTTGTTGTTGCGTACATTTTCTTTTGTGCCACACATTCGGTGTGCTGTCGCCTCGTTTCGCATTAAAGCGATAAGCCAAATTGATTCAGTCCCATGCCAGTGTCCCAAACGCACGCAAAAAGCTTTGATTTCACACACACACACATAGACACGCACAGATGCGTACATACGCACGCCTGCTCGTGTGACACGTGATATGCTGCAAGTTGGCATTCAATTAATTAAATGTTCCAAAGTTACAGATGCGGGTCTTAAATACTCACCCACTCATTCATTCACAATCACGCTCCAACCGAAGCCAGCGCCCAAGCATCCATGTGCGTATCAAATATATTTGTATTGGTGTCTATCGGTCGAATTTTGGTGTACTTTTAGGCTAAGTATTACTAAAAATCTCTCAAATATACATATATCTATTCATATACATATGTATAAAAAGTTTCGAAACATAATTATCCTTTCATGTACCCGCATTTTAAATACGTTCACCCACATTCATATAATTTGTTGTACTCTTTCAGCTCACCTCCGTTTTGCCTGAATATTTGCACATGTGCAACTCAATTTAACTGATGGGTCAATTTGATTAGACTTACCATACAAATGAGAAATAATAATCGTGCACGTTCGGACATTTGGGTTAATCGATTCATCTGTTGTTGTTGTAGTTGCAATAATTTTGTCATGACATGAAATATGGAAAGAAATGCAAAGCTGCAATATTTTGTTGAAATTATGGTAAATGGTTGGGTTTTATTTAGTTTTCCTAATTTCTTGATATATTTTGAATTTTGAAGTTTATTTCAAAGAGATGTGTAAGATCTTTTAAAATCGGGCACATTTTTGTTTCTTTGAAAACTTTTTATTGAACTTTATTTGTGAATCAAACTTATATGCACATTTTTGTATGACGGTGATCGGATGTTTTAGCTGGGGGAGCTTAAGAATCAAATAAGGAAACTCGAGTTCAGGACGCCTTATTCCACTTAGGATATGTTTTTAGCAAAAAAATTAAAATTTTCAGCTCATGGGTTTCTTTCACAATATCTTACTACTTTTCTGACTGTCACTAACACATTGAATCAAGAGATAATTGTTGCTTTCAATTGGGGATTGCGGTTTGTATGTGCTCCAAATTTCTTTCTCTCTTTTAAATTTCCTAAAGCGGTCACAGATATCACTGCAAAGCCGTTAACTTTAGCTGCACCGAAGCTTTAATACCTTTCACACGTTCATTATAGCATAAAGGGGTTTAAAAAGATCTTAGTCTTGATTGTGATCGATCAGTTTATACAGCAAAATTTGTTCAGAGATTGTATCGTTGGCTTGGACAATAACCCATGCCGAATTTCGTGAAGATATCTTGTCAAATACAAAGTTTTCCGTATTTCCGATATCAACGATTCCGCGACACGCGCAGCTACTTAATGAAAAAAGGACGTGTGCCGAATTTCAGATCGATATCTCAAAAACTGGGGTTACTAATTTACGCACGGACAGACAGACAGACGGGCTTGGCTGAATTGACTCAGCTCGTGCTGATCCCTCATATATAGACTCTGGCGTTTCTCGACATTTGACGTCCTACAAACTACGTGGCAACCAAAATATACCCTATTCAAGATATAATAGCGACTTTCCTTACTAAGTGGTTGCATTTTATTATTCTTATAATTCCAAAAAACCAGAAGTGCTTCATAAGTAGTTTACGTGAGCAGCACTCTACCGGCATATAGCTTAAGTACCCCTTTAAATGTTTAGGAAGAATATATTATATATATTATAGGCATTATGGTTCACAGATTTATAGTGTAGAGAGAACAAATAATGTTCTGTCATTGATGTTCCTATCATGGTCTCTCCGAAAACAGAAAGGATAATAAAATTTAGCGAATACATTGAAAAATGCAATATTCCGAAGAGAAATGTTTGTATATACCTGTTTCGATATGGTGTTGTTCCACTCTCTATCATATAAGTACCTCTATGAGTCCAGTACTAAGATATTTTTTGAATTTAAAACAAAGTCGGTAGAATAGCTTACCTGAGTGCTGCAATTAAAAAGCACTTATTGCCTTGGGGCAGATGTCGTTTTTAGAAGCAGTCGATTTGTCGATTTATAAATTTTTGGGTCTTTGTTCACTTTTAAGCTATTGCTTACGATAGAATTACGTTATAGAACTGCATATTTTCATTTTCTATGGATCGTACGTACACCACAGCAAATATTTTAAATGATCGAATTATGGTTCAAAGATGAGCTGTGTAGTGGGAGCAAAAAATGATCTTCCAATGATGCTCTTATAGATACTCTCGGAAAGCAGAAATGATAGTAGGTTTGCGTGTCTACTAAAAACAAATTCCATAGTTTGAAGAGAAATGTACAGACATGAGTCTGTGCTCATTAACCGAACAGCCGTATGTGTCTTATCTTACAACAATTTATCAATGATTTTCAAGTTTCTGACAAATTCGTTAAACTAAATGTTTATCAGGATGGCTACATTCATCAATTGTTGGTCGATTTGTTGGGTCGATTTGTTGGGTCTTCCTTCACTTTAAAGCTGTTGCTTTTCATAAAGGAACAATCATGTATTGGCTTTAATATTTATCTTATCTTCCATTGATTTTCATCACTTTCACTTTTATTATTGCTTAATATATTCTGTGTAACTTTATATACAACTCTGTCTGCTTCAATATGTAAAACACTATGTGACACGCAATTAATCAAAAGTGAAAAAAGTCACTGTAAATAATTACCCTAATAAAATTGTTTCACCTTCATAATTTTATTTGCATCAAACTTTTCAACTTCTCTAGTTCGCAAAATAAAACAACACCAACAACAATAACATTAATAACAATGTTCACAATGGCATTATAAAGTGCCAAGCTGAAGCAACAAGCATTTGAACAGAGCGCTGCGGCAAGCGGAAAATGTGGTCTAGCGTCCTACAAACAACAGCGAGCCACCGCCAGTCAACAGCAGCAAAAACAATAGAAGTAAGCGCAGAACTTTGTCGATACGCTTCAAACAACAAGTGAAGCTTCGCCTTTGCCACTTCACTCTAAGCAAAAAAGTACATAATGTAAACTTTCGCTTTGCCCCCTCACCGCACCTAGAGCACCAAGTGAGGCCATTTCTTCTCGTGCATACAATATTACTCCGTCGCTCTTTCATCGACACCTCTACTTGCCACACTTCCGCGCATTGTGCTTAAGTTTTCCACTTTTCACTTTGACTGCCAGTCAAAGCGCCGGCAACAACAACAAAAATAATAAAAATATGGAAAATTATTGTTTTTAGTGTTAGTGTAGTAGTATTGGCAGGATTATGTTGAACGTGTCTACTATTGTTGAATGTTGCACGTTGCACGCCGTTGGTGGCAAGTTAAATGCAAGTGCGAAACCGCATAAAGTGAGGGCGAACGAAAGATAGAAGCGACACACAAAAGAAAAACACGTATAGGAAAACTGTTAGAAGTGCCAACGACAGGATATGCATCCAACAACAACAATGTGTTGCATGATGTGCGAAAGGAAACATAGAAACTTATTAAACATACATAAATATATATTCATAAAGGAATGTTTGGATTTACTTATCTTAAGGTGTTAGGCAAGGCCTTGTAGCACCTATAGCTACTTAAGGGGAGAGTGTACTCGTATGTGTGTGGCTTTGCAACTAGTATGTGGTAAGCCTGAAGTACACACTTGTAATTTTCCGCTACTTTTAACAATCGTAAACTGTAAGTGGAGTGCCCTCTACGGTTTGCATAGAGGGTTTGGTATCATATAAATATATTTAATTTTTATTGTTAAAGGGGATAGTTCAATTAGATTAGGTTGAATGAGTCGTAGTACTTGTTTCACAAAAGTTTATGCTTAAAATTGTCTGGGTGAATACAAACTATTATATGAGCGGACCAAAATTTCAAATTTTTCGTTAAACGCTGCTCCTTAAAAAAAATCATAAAATCTCTTAAGGAAAATGTGACCTCTTCCGAGGATAGAGAATTGATGACAACTCAGAAAATTTGCGGCAAAAAAAAGAGAATTGAGCCAAAAGCCCCTATGATCTTTACATTTCTTAACAATCAGATGGTAAATGAATTGTTGCGACTTTTCATAGCTTCTCATCTTGACATATATTTTTCGATATTTGCAATATTTCCTCTGTGAGAGCTGACATTAAGTCATATCATAAAATTTATTTCAATGGACATTCCTGAGAATCAAACCTTACATCTCAATATCGTTATGTTCTGTTATAATAAGTACTGCATACTGTTCTCTCCGAGCATCTTCAGATTGGTTGCTTCCTAGGCGATACGAAAAAGTTTTACTATCGTTGAGGAAAATAGATTTGATTTTGACGTTGACCCTAACCTATATTTTAAGCATAACGCTGCTGCTTTCAATTATCATATGTTCAAGGGTCAGTAACAGCCGTGGCGCAATTCAGGGCACACCAAATCAAGAAAGATTACACACACTTATAAACAAACTTACAATGTAGCCTCCCTCTCTCAGCAGTAGCACTGATTCCGTTATGAAGTGTTATGTATGTGTAGGAATGTTGAAAAACTTAATAATATTTCTGTTTCAATTCTGCACACCACGCACATGCTGGTCAGCGCCATCAATCCCACCTACTAAGTTATCTGTCAGGCGTTTTTGTTCTTCGCCAACAGACCTCTTAGTAATTTATCATTCACTCAGCGGGCAGCAACTTGAGCAACGCAGCGTCTGTAATGTTGTTGTTGTTGTTGCTTTGAAGTGTGGCAGCATTTGTTGTTGCTTATTATAAAACATTACCAAAAGCGCAGTGAGTCCTGGTTGGTTGCTTGGTTGGCCATTGGTCGACTTTCCCTGCTTGCAAAGCTGTGCTTTGGGTTAATATTCATGCTTCCACGCTTGCTGCTACTGTCAGCTGCTGCGCTTTGTCATGTCTCGCTACTTCAGCGCATATACTTAAGGCATACTAACGGATAATATATATAAATATTATATATACTATATTCACATGTAGGTAGATTTTGTTTTGTGTGCCGGTTTTCTAGGTTATTTTTATGCCACATCCTGTCGTGTCTTAGTGCTCTCAGCTTTCTTCCTCTTTTCTGTCTTCCATACACTTTGCTGCCAGCATTTTTCTTGGTTTTCATTACATCCGTTGTTGCACTTGATGGTGTACATACAAATACACACACATATACATATAAGTGTATATATGTGTTTGTAATGCTGCGGTGTATTGTTCCAAGTCCCTTTTTAAGGATGGCTAATGCTTGCAGCAACTGTGTCAAATACTCATCATCTTGTGCCGTCTTGCATGAATATGTGTGTGTTTGACTGTGTTTTTCGCCGTTGAGTGCTTGAGAAATCAGGTCGCAACCTCACAGTTTTCATTACGTGGCTCGGATTTTAAACTTGAGCTATGCGAAGATAAATGCGCCAAAGCGAAGCTGTGAGACGACGTCACTAAAGCCAGCTACGCCAATTAACAAGGATTTACATTTTTTGTTGTATACATTCGCGCTCGCTTTTTTTTCGCCTCCCGAATACTCAACCGTACACAGCTGTGGCGTAAAATGAAAAATAATTGGAAAATTTAAAACATTTACCAACACATCAATATTTTGTGGAGTGGAGTGTTGGTTATTGGTGGTGGGACAGGTAAAAGTGCTTAGCAGCCATCTGTAATGCCGGAGATACCGTTATTTTAAGTATAGCATTTCTAAGCTGAACCTAATTGAGTTTTTGCTACGAGTTAGACAATTATTATTTGTTTTCATTACATTTTATCCAACTCAGTGTGTCGTCTTTTTCTGGGGACTTTCTAATAATCCTCAGAAATCGAATTTGTTCATTTCGTAAAGGATTTATTTGTACGTGTAAACGTACGAGTAATTAGTAGCACATTAGAATGAGCTTTATTGAGAAAGTTTTGGTTATTTATCAGGCATAATATCCTTTGATATTCGTTTATGGAAGTCTGCATTAGAGTTCGCACCTAATTAGGGTATATCAGATATTTGGTGGGAAATTTTTGTTATTTTTAGTTTGTAAAAGTTATACTCTCATTGTTTACTCTAACTAGATTAAATAATTTTCTGTAATTTTGTAAACATTTTGTAAGGCACTTCTGGTTTTTCCTCTTCGTTCTTATTATTCGGCACATTTATCATCGCCCCTAGATGTAGGCAACACCTTTTTTATTGTTATTTAAGGGGTGAGGCTTGTTTAGAATTTACAAAAAATCCGCTTTTCTGCTTAAGGTACAGTTAAGGATTTCAAAATCATTCTCCGATTCGAGAAATATTGAAAAAAATATATCTCTATTCAATCCACTCTGACAAAAGGTAAAAACAAACATCTTTTCTAAGAATTTTATTATAAGATACCATTTTCTTTTCTCCCAGAATAAATTACCACAGTTACAGCTTTTTGAGGACTCTAGACCCGCTGAATTCCATAAAGAGTACTAAATAAAGAATATACATTGTCGTTACATACATATAGGCGCAAACGTGACAATCTAGTAAAGTCGCACACCCACTTATAAGTTGTATGTAATAGAAATTTGAGTGAAAGTAAAAACAAGTTTTCAAAATTATTATGCAAAATTTTAAATTTAAGGGAAGTTTTATTTTACAACTAAAAATATCACAAAAAAATTTCCTAATAAAGACAAATTTTCTTTCGAACTGAACATTTTTTCGCAAGCAGCTTCTTGTTTGTCGGAACCACTAATAAATAGATATAGCTAGCGTACGAACTGGCCGATCAGAATCCAGTCCTTGTATAGAAAACTTTTCTATTCGAGAAAATATCTTCACGGTTACTGTACAAACGTCTAAACACTTTTGCTTCACACTGTTGTCACAACTCGTTACAAGTAACATACCCAAAATAGCTGCCGAACCACATTTCGCTTCTTTAGCGAGTTACCACAACGAGTATAATGCTTACTTGCAGGCTCTCTCTCTACTCCCACTCGCACTCCCATTTACTGCGCCGACTCACCATTTTCGCCGGTACACTGGCATAAACAAGCAAATAGCGAAGCAAATGCACTCGCGAAATGTCTGCCTTCTTCGTCGCTGCTATGTATGCCCACACGTACCAAAGCAAATACCGAAAGTATTTGGGAAAGCCACTTGAATTCGTTAATTTCGCTTAAGTGAGTGAAGTTGTAAATGAAGTTGTGATAAAGTTGCATACAGGAATGAAAATATTTGTAGCCGAACGATTTTATTTGAGTTCAGCGAGTATACACAAATACCCCAACTACAAGTATAACTCTTGTCTTCCTTAGTTGTTGTTGTTGATTACGATGATGATGTTGATGAAGATGGATGAGTTTCA